AAACTATATTTGAAATTTTCGCTTTAATAATTTATTTATTCATTATTATTATATGGGATATTTCTGGTTTAATTGTCAAAGAGATGAACCACCCACGATGTAACAAAGTGAAGTCGCTTTCCAACTTAAACTTCCCTACATAAAACTATAGCTCCACCTAAACATATTAATTACATTTTATTAAGAAATCCAAACAATTTTTTAACAGGATTAATATTTCACATATCATTGAGATCGTATAGTTGCACGGTCTATGTAACTGAATGATGGCCTATGGTTATAAGATTTATGTATTTGAGTGATGGTGTATAGTAGAGGTGAGCTGGAATTGAAATGAGCTCCCAATTCCTTTCCATGTTTTTTCTCATTTCCGATTCTCTCCCGAATCCCTATTTATGATAACGTTTCAGAAAATTCTCATTCCTTAATTTTTTAACTCATTCTTGCGTTTTCCCTCTTATTCCCACCCGATTTCTATTTTTCCATAGAGTTATATAGAGTTATATAAAGTTGTATAGAGTTATATATATATGTATGGTTATATAGAGTTATATAAAGTTTTAAAGAATTACATAAAGTTATATGAAGTTATATAAAGTTATATAGAGTTATATAAAGTTTTAAAGAATTACATAAAGTTATATAGAGTTATATAGAGTTATATAGAGTCATATAGAGTCAAATAGAATTATATAGAGTTATAGAAGTTTTAAAAAGTTATAGAGTTATAATTATGATAACATGAACTAGCAGCTCATAACGTTACACTAAGTAAATATTCAGTTACATACGATGTACGTAACTGAATGATGGAGTAGCTGTGTTTGTAAGTGTGTTTGCATGTGATGTATATCTTGTTGGCTGATACTCTTGAGAAATATGGCAGTTTTGAGATAAATATTTTATTTAATTATTTATAAAAGTTAGTTGCGCGCAGCATAAATAATAACTGTTGTATTAACCATCTTCGCATGGTGTGCCATGCAAAACCGCCGCGTCTACATCCCGGTCGGCAAGGTTCCTCAACAATGTTGAAATTTTCCTCGCAACATTTTCATACACATCGACCTTTTGCTGTTGTTGCCGTTGTTGCAACAATTGTTGTTGTTGTTGTTGTTGTTGTTGTACTGATATCTGCTCCAAGACTTGAGATATGAAGAAAATACTTATGGTCGCTACGAACAGCATCAACAGCGTCATCCTGGTAATGATCCTGAAGTTGAATCGAAGTTTTGATAATGATGATGATGATTGTGAGGATGGAGATGATGATGACGATGATGGAGAAGAGAATGAA